ACCATCTTCTCTCAGCAACCTTCCCAATGCTTGCTGCTTTAAGTGTCTCAGAATTCCAAGTATTACGTGCTTGTGTCGCACATAAGCAAGTCTTCTCCTCTGTATCCAGGGCTGGAAAACCTACACAATTTTCCCCCTCAATTTCTTTAGGTTGCAGGAACAATTTTCGGGTGTTCATTGGTGCAGACAATCTCTCACTTAGTATACAGTAATAATAGATATTGGAAGCGCTAATCCTAGAATCTAAGAAAAATACAACAGAACAATATGAGGATTTGGACGCGGTATATGGGTTTACATCCCTTCCTTATTTAGGCCCAATATACCAAATTGGCTAATCACAAATGAAACAAACTAAATTCCACTAGGCATACACGCAACACATGCTTCCTCTTATCAAGGCTTTGTAAAGCATTGTCTCCATTTCTTTCATGGTATTGTGCTACTTAAAAACCAGAGTAAGCAATGTCTTTATTTCTTTCATGGTATTATGATATATGACAATATTGCAACAACAAATTTACCTGGTAAAAGCAATAAGAAGCCAATAAACAAAGAGAGACAATAAGTGCAATTAAAACAGCCAAGTGCCTTCCGGACGTTGATTTGAGTACTTGGGGTATCTGAACAATCAGAAATGGAATGACAGATATAATCATGATCCTTGCAGCATAGCTTGTCCAAATATCAGTACTAACGCCAGAACCTGCAAGGGGAAAATATATTGGACTAATTATTAAAATATCCATACTGCTAAAATGCATGACATTAAAATGAAATGAAGGTTTAGCAAAATAGATAAACTTAATCTACGGCATTCATCCTTTTAAAATTTGAACAGTCATGCCTTAATTCAGGAGAAAAAATAATACTGACACAACGACCTACACTTGTGGATATCACCCCATGAGGTGAGTTATTTTTTTAATGTCTTCGACAAGAAAGCTTAATATCAAATTTTTCGAAAATCCCTGAGAGGAAGAAGGACATAAGAGACTTACCAGTTAAGCTAAATCCTCGTGTGTCTTGTGAATCTTTCGCAATTGAATCTTCAATGTCACACTTGCCAACAATTACACAAGTTCCCCATATTATAGTCAGAAGCAAAACTGTTGACCCCGCTAGCAAACCCATTCCAACAGAGACCTGACTTTGAGCGGTTTCTTTGCTACCGGAAAGCCCAGATACTAGAGTAAAAACAAGATAAATAGATCAGAAACGATAAAAATAGGGAGATAACAATACCAAGTGTTTGCTTCCCACCCCCCCCCCCAAAAAAAAAAAAAAAAACCGAGTGTTCGTTAGTTTTAATCAATGAGAGCGAACAAATATATAGCAATCTTCTGGCTAGTATGAGGAACACCACGAGATTGTGGTCAACATAAACAATGAATCGTGAAAAATGTCTCACAAAAATTGCTGCTTGTCAGCTAAGACTAGTAGTTGAATTCTTCTATTTGTACCTCTGTAATGCGATCAAGAAATAAATTATTTAACTGCATACTATTTACTGAACTGAATAGTCCGCTTCCTCTTCTTTTCTTTTCTTTTCTTTTTTTCCAGGACGCAAATTTCGTTAGTTCTTGGAACACTCAGAATGATCACCATTAGAAACAACTGACAATTTTTTGAAAGATGCACCTGAGGATATTTTTTCGTCATTCCGAAATTCCAATTGGCGCAAATGATCATCAAGTGGAGAGCAGCGCACAAAGTGTAAAAGGAGGTTGAGCAGATAGAAATTTGAAGAGTTTAAGCAACGCATATAAAAAGTAAAAGGTGGGAATGAAGCTCCAAAAAGAAAGTGGATCTCATGCACCAGAGCAAGGGACCAAATTCTCATGCCCAGAGTTGCCCAGTATGAGTAGATCTAGTACTTTTATTTATATCTGAATTGATCCAATATGACTGAAAAAGCAAGGATACGAGATGGCAAGTTAGAATGACATTAAATTGTACTCATCCATATAAATAATACTCTCTGATTTTTAATGTAAAATCTACTTAATTAATTATATTAATTAAATTAGTTAATATCATTTGTTTTCTTAAAACACCTATACATCTTTCTCAATTCCCTTCCTCATTTCCTTACTTGATTATTCTTAAGGAAATAGGGCTAATTTGGAAAAAAAATTAACAACCATGTTAAATAAGTCTTATATATAAACCAACATAAACTTCCTAATTAGATCATATATTAAGGATTGGAAGAGTAATTAATAAATAATGAATTTGATAAATATTTAAGCATTCTATAATATTTTCCATTTTCATTATAGAAAACAAGAAAAATCATATGTGCTAACATGATTCAGACGCGGAGTTTTATAAATTGGTTTTTGTTCTAAAAAAAGTTATTGGAAAGAAAGTAAAAAAAAAAACCGTAAAAATTATAAAATTGCAAATCAAGTATTTTGTGAAAAAATTGTTGTCATTTAATTTATTTGCTACTCAATTATTGTCAACACCTATGCAAGTCTTATAATGAATCTTGATTTGCAATTTTGTAATTGTTATGGTTTTTTGTGATTTTTCCAAAATTAAATTGATATGGAAAAATAAATAAATAAAGATCCGTGCGCTCAGATAAGGGTTTTGTTTTGTGGGTCAAAAAAAGAAAACATGACCATGTTAAGGAACCGTCTTATCAGTACTTTTGTAAAGACAAAAAGAAGAAAAATAAAAAATTAAGATGCGATTGACTACTGATTAAGTATACTTTTTATATTTTAATGTTGAAGATTTTATAAGATATAATAATAAAATAAAATTATAAGAATCATAAATTCCTTAACAAATTTATTTTTAAGTGGTTTATAATTATTTTTGCGAATGGAGAATTTTAATTAAAGAACAATCAAACTATTCATATATCGCAAATAATTTAATTCGTTATAATATTATATATAAAATTTATAATAAACTGCAACATTATAAAAATAAAAAATAATAATAGAATTTTTATGTCAAGCATAAATAACACAAGTGATTTTATTAGACTCATGGATCTTATATTAACTGTCTTTATAATAAATTCATAAGTTATTTTCTAATTATACTTTCACTAAAAAAATTTATTGATATTTAAGCTTCTTTGTTCTCTGTTTTTTCAACTCCTCTAAATTTTTAAATTTTCCCCCAAGGACTGAAAGAATCCGCCAAAAGAATTCCATCTAAAGGTTGTAAAATATCATCGGATGAGTAATGAAGATAGTTGGCAAAAAGAAAAAAGTAATGAAGATGATCAAACGAAAACTCTGATGCCTGCAGTATCCTCGACGCTGCAGGAAACTTTAAAATAAAAGAAACGAAAGCTTTAAACGGATACAAGTCATCTAAGAACTTTTCTTAGGTTTAAAGAAATCTTTCTTAGTATCAAAGAAACTCAATTAAGGGAGAAAGTTGTCCACTGCCCACAAAAGCGTGCACCCACTCACAACAGGGGGGTCACTTCCGAATTTTGAGAGACGACTGAGAGGAGGAAAACTTAGGTGGAGTAAGGTGTTACCATATCATGATGTTAAAAGACGTAAAAGCATTTTTAAAAAGGGTCCAAAATCCCCCAACATATTTTCCAGCTAACCAAACAGATGAAAGAAAATCCTTATCCGAATTAACGAGCAGACTGAAAACTCCTTAGACTTTGTTTGGTTTAATGGAGGGAAGGGGAGGGGAGGTTAATTAAAAGAAGGGGAAGGGAGGTCATGGTTTTGTTTGGTTGGAGGGGAGGGGAGGGGAGAAGAGATTTCTTGTTTGGTTTATGAGAAGAGGAGAGAGGAGGTAATTATAAATTGACAAATATGCCCTTATCTCTATATTTAGACTAATTTATTTTTTTATTACAATATTTATGTCAAAATTATTATTTCTTAATTGATGAATTTTAAAAAAAACCAATTACCTCACTTACATGTGATAAAAATAATAATAAAACTAAAAAAATTAGAAAATATGATAAAAAAATTTAATATTCTATTTCATTAATTTTATAAATATATGTATTAATATATATGATATGTATATATTATATACTTATAACACACACGTTATGATATGTATATATTAATATATATGCATGTTATCTAAGATTATAATGCACACGCTATGATATATAATTATAATACACACATATTATGATATGTATATATTAATATATATGGTATGTATATATTATAATATTATAATTATCAAATATTATTAGTGGCTAAAAAGAGAAAGAAGTGGAAAAAAGATTTTTAATAAGATAGACAAACTTGAAATATTGAAAAGTTAGTATGGATAATTTGATCAATGTTAGACATAATATTTCTCTCATCTCCAAAAAATCCCAAATTTAGAGGGGACCATGGGGAGGAGAGGGGAGCACTAAAAAACAAATTTCTTCCCTCCTCTCCCCTCTATTTTTTCCAACCAAACACACTTATCCCCTCCCCTCCCCTCCCCTCCCCTCCCTTCAAAAGCCCTCCAAACAGAGCCTTAATATCCGTCTGATAAACATAGCGCGGGTAAGAAGTAAGAACTCATGGGAGCTATACATGAACATCTAGAGTTTTCGTTTTCGAACAAAAGGCGAGAAAGGAAAAGAAAACTGCTATTATGATTTCCCAACTATCCAAACATAGGGAAGTAGAATCCAGAACGTCGGAGATGGCCAAAAAAAAATCTAGAACATCCAAGAGAAAACAGAAATGCATCACGCAATTACTGATGTCTCGAAGAATTCATCTCGTTTTTCACTAATAATTCTTAGTTTTCATTTTTAGGATGAAGGCGGCAGAGAAAACGCAAATTACTATCGTATGTGACTTCTAACCAAACAATTAAAAGAGAAGTAAAATCCAGAACGGAACATCAATGACAAAAAAATAAAAAGAACGACGGCGCGCCAATTGTTAAAATTTATAAGAAAAGAAATTAAATCAGTTTTACTGATTCTACGAGATCTTAATTTTCCATTTGCAGGATTAAAAACAGAAGTGTAATCATATTATACTTACCGAGAATGAGCATGGCATCAGGCAGCGCTCCGAGAACGGGAAGAAACAAGCCACCAACGATCCCGGGGCCCAAGATCTCAAGCAACAGCTCGCTGCCATTGGACAAATAGGTAGCAGCCTTGTACATTAGGAAGCCATAGACGACGATAAGGAACAAGTTTCCGACTACAGAGGTGGTGCAGGGCAAGAATCCATACGTCTGCTCGCAGGAAGACTCCTTCAACGGCGGCAAAAGTCGGAGCAGATTATCCTCCGGCGAATCCCGGGAATCGTGGATCCCATTGGAAACAAGATTAGAGGAGGACGAAAGGAACCGAGCGTGAACCTGAGCAGACAGAATTAGGAGTGAGAGTGAGAGGAAGAGGAAGAGCGTGAAGGCGAAACGACGAGACATTGGGGACGGCGGGGGATTGGGGATCGGAAAATCTTCTAGAGGATGTGGATGTGAAGCATTTGCAAGCTTGCAGAGAAGAAGAGAGTGACGCAGTGGATATTTGAATTGCAATGAAAGCAAGTTTGCAACGTGTGGGGACGGAGGATGCGAGGGGCAATCTGCGTCTGAATCGCGTCCTTTGCCGAAGGCAGGGTGGTGGGGGAAGACACAGGGAAGGGAGTGGGAAAGGACAGTCATGTGATGCGCACTCTATAGTCTGTTTACAAATGCAGGGGAATTACAGTTACATGAGGTTCCAAACGAAGAAATTAATTATTTTTTAGTATCATTTATATAGTATTAAATTTAATACTCCTTAATATAAAAATTAAATAAACAATTTAAAAATATTTAAAAAATTAGTTAAGTTAGTTATTTGTTACAAATGAGTGTTGTCAGTTGTCTTTCTTAAAATATTCCTATTAATTATATGTATTAAAATAAAAAATCCTTAACATATGCAATCACTATAGGAACTATTTTAGAAAAAAAAATTAAATAAATATGAGAGGCAAAGTTATACTTAGAAACAAATTAAATCTCTAACTAACTCTTACATTTAGGACAAAAAATTACATTTACATAGTAAATTTTTGTATTTACAAGTGGCTTGATCGATGGATAAATGATTCTTTTATTTGGAACATGTAGGTAAATTTTTCATTTAACATTATAAACATAAAATGATAAATTCAAAAATTTAAATATATTTTAGTTTATTTAAGTTAAAACTTAATAAGAAATTCAGGGGAGAACATTTATAAAGTATAAAAAATAATTCTTTAAGTTGGAGTAGAAATCATTACAAAAATATTTAACCATGTGGTACAAAATAATCAATTTTTAGGAGAAAAGCACAAAATATTTTTCTTGTTATAATTAGGTGAGAAATAAGATCGTCATGTGATGTGTGCCATTTAGTGTTTTATTAAAAAATTGAAAGTTACAGTTTAATATTGTAAAATAAAGAAATAATGTATTAAAAGTTTTTAATACTAGTTTTTTAGTTAAAATTCGTAGAAAATTTATTATATCAAGATTAAGATAATCAATCTTAAAAAGGAAAATAACACAAAATCCTCTACGTTAAATTAGAAGAAATGCATTTTTCTTCATTTTGATTAGGTGAGCTCCCCAATTTTGTGTCAAGTTTGATACATGAATTAACATTGTTTATACCACGTTATAATGGTAATAGTTTTAATATTGGTCTAGGTTTTAAGTTGAAGGATTTAATTTCTGATTAGCTAGAGCAACAAAGCAAATTTTTAAAATTACAATGTACAGTTACATATAAATTTTAATAATTATTGAAAAATGTCGTGAAATACAGAGAAGTTAAATAATGATATACTTATATTGTTCAGCTAATTATTTTTTAAAAAAAGTAGATCCAAATCCCCTTGATACTTTCTTTCTATTTCTATTTTTCCAAACACATCCTAAAATATTTCGTTTATAATAATGGATGCAGACTATTAAACCAAATATATCGTCCATTTATAAATTCTTTTCTCAGTTGTTTAATTAATCAACGGAGAGGATTATGTAATGAAGAAAGCAATGGAAACAAAATAGGGACCAAATCTTTTTTTTTTAAAAAAAAAAAAGTGTGGTGTGTGGTTTATATTTACTCTTCTAGTAATTAATCCTTGATTTGTTACGGATTGACCCACTATGTTCCCCCCGTAAAGACAAACGGCCAGTGGACAGATAACCAACTATATTAACTAACTAAGGATATCATTTTAACATGGGGTTGATGCAGAGATATAGATTCCTAATGTTTATATATCTATTTAGTACTCCTCCGATCCTTAATATAGAACCCAATTTTTGAGTTGGTTTTGATCCTAAATATAAGACCCATTTCTCATATTTATCAATTTTCTCTAAATTACCCCTATGAATACTCCTTCAACTATAATCAAGTAGAAGAGGGAGATGGGGTATTAAGAAAGATGATTATGGTGTTTTAGGAAAAATGTGTTACTTTTCTTATAATTAACTAATTTACCTAACTTTCTTAATCTAATCAAATTAGTTAAATGGGTCTTACATTAAGGACCGGAGGAGTACTTAATTATATATATATATTGTATTTAGGAAACGACATGTCATGTAACTAAAAAATATCAAGAAAAATATGCCACTGACTTTACCTATTCTAATTTTGATTTTATCGTATTCCATTTTTACAGGGTGATTATGCGTCAAAAATTAATTTCACCGTACTATTTAGTAATAAAAAATATGATTAATTGGATGGTGTTTGGAAAAAATAATAACTATTGAAATAATAAATTTATTAATTATATAAAAACACAGTGTTGAGTTTTTGCAGTTTTGCATCAGCCCTCACTTTCACTGCTCTCAAATACTGACACGTAGATAACATTTGGTGGGAGAACCATCATTGCCGTGACCGAATTTAGTAGCATGAAAACGAAAACGGAAATAGAACTCAAAATTGGAATTTCAAAAGAAAAAATACTGATTATAGCAGAAGTCATTATATATGTATATATATTTCCTGTTATATAACTGTAAACTGAAAAAAGAAATTATTAACTTCATTCGCACATCTGTAATTACAAAATTGTAATCATGAGATTCATTTTTTAGCTGTCTTCACAATTCTCTCTTAAATTATATATTTGTCTAATAGCTATTTAGAAATGCTGGAAATTTCCTTCTTCTTTTTTTGAAGTAAATCAAATATTTTTTTAATTGATAAAGGAAATTAAAAATCATAAGTTCTTAAGAGAAATCACAAACAAATTGGGCTGCTTTGATATTTCGTACCGAGTAATATTACCTCTTTCTTAGTATAAAAGTGTGTTTTATTTTTAATTTGGTACTAAATATAAAATTTCAATCTATTTTGTCTTTCATACTTATATATTTTTTTAAAAATAGTTCTTGTAATAGTTACATATATCAAAAGTTCTATCAAATGATAGTTTTAGTTAATACACATTATTAACAAAGGTATTTTAGAAAAAACAACACCTATTTATTAAAATAACTAATTTAATTAATTTTTTTAATCTCTTTGAATTAGTTAATTAGGTATTATATTACTTCTGATCTTTAATATAATAGTTCATTTGATTTTGATTTTAGTCTTAAATATAAAATCTTAATTTATTTTGTCTCTTATATTTATCTTTTTTTTAATATAATTCTTGTAATAATGATAGTTGTAGCCAATATACTTGATTAGTAAGAATATTTTAGAAAAAATAATACTTATTTATTATAAATAACTAATTTAACTAATTTTTTAATTTATTTAAATTAACCAACTATTTTTTGTATTAACCACAGGAAATATAGAATTACGGATGGGAGGTAGTATTTATTACCTGGTCAATCATTGGCCACAAAAAACGCGGAAGGACACACAAAAAATATCACATGATCCGATGGTCAGACACCACAAGAAGTCTTTCACTGTATCACAGTACAGCCTAACCTTATCCTCGTACAACATCATTCGTCCATGGGAATGGGGGTAGAATGGTAAAAACATCCAAGAGCAGATTAGTGCCGACGAACTACCTTCCCTTTTTGGTTCTTGTTTTTTTGGGGTGGGGGGTGGGGGGGGTTTGAGGGGTTGGTTGGAAAGTAGCAATAAAGTCACATTGAAAGCTGTGCTTCAATGGAAGCTGCCGTAAATAAGAATGCTCTCGCATTGAATGTTTTCATCCAAAGTTATACACACACCTCCAGTTTTTAATATAAAACTTATTTAACCAATTTAATTTAATTAAAAAAGTTAAGTAACTTAGTTAATTATAAGAAAAGTGACACATTTTTTCTAAAATATTATAATCATCTTTCTTAATACTACATCTCCCTCTTCTACTTGATTATGATTAAGAGAGTATCCATAAGGGTTGATGCAGAGATATATAAATTCCTAATGTTTATATATCTATTTAGTACTTAATTATATGTATATTGTATTTACGAAACGACATGTCATGTAACTAAAAAATATCAAGAAAAATATGCCACTGACTCTACCTATTCTAATTTTGATTTTATCGTATTCCATTTTTACAGGGTGATTATGCGTCAAAAATTAATTTCACCATACTATTTAGTAATAAAAAATATGATTAATTGGATGGTGTTTGGAAAAAATAATAATTATTGAAATAATAAATTTATTAATTATATAAAAACACGAGTGTTGAGTTTTTGCAGTTTTGCATCAGCACTCACTTTCATTGCTCTCAAATACTGACACGTAGATAAGATTTGGTGGGAGAACCACCATTGCCATGACCGAATTTAGGAGCATGAAAACGAAAATCGAAATGGAACTGAAATTGGAATTTCAAAAGAAAAAATACTTATTATAGCAGAAGTCATTTTATATATATATATATATATATTTCCTGTTATATAACTGTAAACTGAAAAAAGAAATTATTAAATTCATTAGCACATCTGTAATTACAAAATTGTAATCATGAGATTCATTTTTTAGCTGTCTTCACAATTCTCTCTTAAATTATATATTTGTCTAATAGCCATGTTGGAAATTTGCTTCTTCTTTTTTTGAAGTAAATCAAATATTTTTTAATTGATAAAGGAAATTAAAAATCATAAGTTCTTAAGAGAAATCACAAACAAATTGGGCTGCTTTGATATTTGTTAACGAGTTATACTACCTCTTTCTTAATAGAAAAGTTTGTTTTGCTTTTAATTTGGTACTAAATATAAAACTTCAATCTACTTTGTTTTTTATACTTATCTATTTTTTTAAAGTAGTTCTTGTAATAGTTACATATGTTAAAGGTTCTATCAAATAATAGTTTTAGTTAATACACATTATTAATAAAGATATTTTAGAAAAGACAACACATATTTATTAAAATAACTAATTTAATTAATTTTTTTAATCTCTCTGAATTAGTTAACTAAGTCTTATACTACCTCCAATCCTTAATATAATTTATTTGAATTTTATTTTAGTCTTAAATATAAAATTTTAATCTATTTTGTCTCTTATATTTATCTATTTTTTTAATATAATCCTTATAATAATGATAGTTCTAGCCAATATACTTGATTAGCAAGAATATTTTAAGAAAAATA